CAGGATTCTCTTCAGATGAAATCAAAACTGAAACAAACTGGTTTTTCTGAACACGCCGTGAAGCTCGGTGGTGGCAGCATCATGCTGTGGGAGGCTGGTCAGAGTTGATGGGAAGATGGATAGAACTAAATTAGGACAATCTTGGAAGAAAATCTTCAAAAGAGAGACTGGGGCTAAACATGCAGGGGTGGTTAGATCAAAGCAGCTTTATGGGTTAAAATGTCCTAGTCAAAGACCAGAAAACTGATGTTATCCATCCAGTCTGACTAAAATGAAAATGTTTTATAAAGAAGAGGATGGGCTGAATAATAATAATAGATTAAGAAGAAATTGAATTGTTTTAAAAAGTCTCAATTTATTTTGTTCAGTTTCATTCCCAGTTTGTCAGTTATCAGTTCATCTCAGTATTTTCATGCTTATTTTCATTTATTACCGTTATCAGGGCTTCCTCACGGTAGTAAAATGTAATAAATGAGCTCAAATTAAGGCCAGTAAAATGCAGGCCAGTATCTAAAGGTAGTAAAAAGTGGTACATTTTTGATCATCCCTTGTAATTTTCCATTGGCGCTCACTTACTGTTTTAAGTTTGTTTTACTAAAATTTGTATGAAAATATAACTGCGGTACCTCCAGGACCTGAGCTGAAGCTGCTGTGCGCATGCGTAGTGTTGGAACCGCCTAACGTTGAGACTAGCTAGTCATTTTGCGCTTCGCCATGGGAAAATATAAGTTTCACAACTTTGGCTCGATGATCCAAGATTCAAAGACTAGAGATGACCGAAAGGCATTTTGTAAAGTACGCAGGAAAAAATCTAAATGTGACCTGGAACGGTCAGACCGAGCGCAGGATTCATCCGCGGCGGATCCCTGCGCGGGCTGAGGCTCCACCGTGGAGCAGATCCCAGTTCCGGTTTCTGGTGCTAAACGAAATGATGCAGCTGCAAACTCAAGCTCAGCTACGAGCTGAAGTTTTACCAGCGACCTGCTGACCCTAAAGCAGAGCTGAGCTGCTCTACAGTGAGTTCAGTAACTCCAGCTGCAGCGTGAACAAACTCAAAACTGAAAATCCCACTGCAGTTGTAGGAAAAGTGGTAAAACTTTTACGTACAAGTTTATTATACATTATCAGCTGATACCATTTAGACACGTTTCATGTTTCTGTTTACATCCAAAAATGGCGCGAAGGCAAAAAGTCGATCCTCTTCCTTGCCATGCGGAGCCGCGCAGCCGCGGTTCCGTTAACTAAATGAAACCTTCATTTAGAGCAGCAAAGGGAAAATAACTCAGAAAAACCGTGAAAGAACAACTCAAACCCAAAGAACAACTCAAACCCAAAGAACAACTCAAACCCAAAGAACAACTCAAACCCAAAGAACAACTCAAACCCACTCATATCCCCACTTTGCTACGCTCAGACTCGTTGCCATAGCAACAAACGGCTCCACTGTATATGAGGACTCAACACCATAAAACCCGCAAACACAAAGTGCAACACATTCAGTCCTTAACAGTTTCATGTTATTTTGGGATTATATCATCTGAGTTTATCGGTGGTTGATTAGCTAATTCCAACAGCTGCTCTAATTGTAACGATGATCTGACAGAGTTGGTTTGTTGGTCACCTGTGAAAAATGATTCCCTTGAACCTCATCCAGTTGTCCCAAAACATCGGCTTGTGAAATTGGAAAGGCATTTTACTGATATTCTTAAAAAAATATCCTCAGTCTTATGGATTTAGGATAAGCACTAAAATCCTGTTTTCAGCATGTGAGGTTTTGGTCAAGATGAAGTCACAGTTAGACCTTCCAGTCAGAGGGATCAAGTTTAGTCTGACATGAGCCGTCATCTTACATGGGTCAGTGCACCAATTGCAGCTTTCTCACTGATCGTAGATTATCAATCTATAAAAAGTTTGACCTGCCGATTTTAGCCAGTGCCATTTTTTATTGAAATGTCCCTAAATATAGGAAGAAAGTCTGTGAGTTGGTAACAGTGGGGTCACTACTGACAGACATGACCTGGTAGCCGGTCTGTCAGTCGAACCTCTTACTGCAGAGCAGGAGAGGAAAGTGGCTGATTTTTAGACCTTTGCTGAAGTAGAAAAGATCAGAGACTGATGTTGGCTTCATAAATATCGACTCATCACCGATCTCTCAAAGTTGAGAAAATCGCTGCAAAATTGGTTGGATTTTGTGTTGGTAGTAAAAATATTGTAGAGGTAGTAAATTCAAATCTGGGATTCCTGTCCAAACCCTGGTTATAAATGTTGAAATGTGAAGCACAAGTTAATAATTATTCTTTTATTTTGTGGTTTGATTCATTTCTGGACCAGCTGATTCTTAAAATCTAATAAATAAAACTTCCTGCTCAGTCTGTCCCTGAACGCAGCACGGTTTGTTTTTGTTATGCTAATCTTCAGATTAGATTTGATTAGAGTTAAAATGAAACTATAAATGCAGATGAAGATGTAAAGTTTTTTATAAAAGCAGCAGAACAATCTGAAGCTTCCTCTTATGTTTCTCTGACTTCCTGTCGCACAGGAAATAAACCCTTCAGCTGCTTCACTGATCAGTAATCAATGATCAGTGATCGATGTGCAGCAGGTCTTCATCCTCCTGATTACGTCTATTTTTAAAGGTGTGAAGAAGAAGAGCAGCAGCTTTTGTTTCTATAGAGATGGAGAGTAAAAATACCCCCATCTGTCCCTAAGCAACAGCGCGGCGACCAATCAGACCCTCCGCCAGGTGAGCGCGCCACTCACTGAGTCCGGACCGAACGGCATTCTGGGAAGTGGAGGCAAACCTGGACTTTGTTTCAACACTGTGGGAACTGACCAACGCCACCTGCAGGTGACAAAGGTAATGTTTCATTGAACGATATTCTGATGGTTTTACAACAGAAAAACTCAAACAGGATAAAAATGAGTTAATTTCTGTTGCATCCGAGTGAAAAAGCTTCAAGTTTTCAGCTGAGCTGAAAGGGACTTAAATTTAACTACACATGATGAAAAATCAGAGAAACAGGACAAATTATAGCTCAATTCTGTTCATCCTAATTTGAAAGATGAGTCATTGAGCAGTTTCTGTTTTAAATAGCGTCTGATTCCTCTAATAATTTACTGGTTTTCTCCGTTTTTCCCTGTAACAGTTGGGAATTTACCTGCAATATTCCTGAAGTTCTTTCCAGATGCAAACAAAATCCTAATTAATGTTTATAATTTATCACCTTGAGTTGAACACAGAGATTATTGGGAACAATATGAATCAGTGGTAAAATAAAACTAAAAAATGGTAGAAAAAAATAAAAATATAAATTTAATAAAATATACATGCGAGTAATAATTCTGCATTTATTTTGATGCATGATGATTTAAAGCTGCTTCCCTTTGAATGTCTTAACTTTCTCATTCCTCTGCTGCCCCCTGCTGGTCTGAACCTGCCAGTGTACCCAGAGGTCCGCTGTCGTTTCGGGTCATTTTGCTCAAAATAAATCACATTTGTAGCTTATTTCCATTAGAATAATTAATTTGTTTTCGACCAAAGAAGCTCCTGATTAATCGACTCATCGATTGGACAAGGGAGAACTCCAAATTAAAGATCTGTGACGTGATTGGTGGAAAAAGGACATTTATTTACAAAACATTTCCATCAATGAAAAACAAAACGTGTACAAAAACACGTCGACACCGAACTTCTTGTTGTTATGGCGACACACGGAGAAAGACGACAGTCACGTGTTCGGATGGAACATCCTGGTCATGTGACCTCTGACCCCAGCAGCAGCACAGAGCTTTAAAGGAGCATTCTGGATTGTTGTCATTTTTCTGATTTTACAGCTAATCTGAACAGGATTATTGATTATTAATTAACACATCTGATCGATTCTGACGTCTGCTCTCCTCCAATCAGATCTCTGAAACAGAAACTGACCTCAGGCTGCAAACTTTCAAAAAATAAAACATCATCATGGCAGCAGAACCAAAACACAGAGGAGACCATTTGAGCCTGTAAACATCTGACTGATTTAGCTCTGGTAAAAAGTAAGTACACCCCATACGCCTTGAATTCTTGTCCAAGCCGCTCTCTGGTCTTTGACTAGGCCATTGAAACACCTTCATTCATGTTTCCGTTGACAACCCAGTTTGGACCAAACTTCATCAAAAACCTGTGGGATACAGAGAAGTTTACGCAAAACAAGCCCTCATCATGACCCCTCCACCACTGTGTTTATAGCTGCGTTCCAACCTGGCTCAGGGTCACAACCTTTAACCTTTAACCTTGTGAATGAGGCCTTTAGCAGACCATTTATCTGAGCTTTGGCTCTGGCCTACTGCCAAAACCATTACTTATACCTGTTTTAATTAGCTTTAGCTAATGTTGGTAGCCACAGTTAACACCATTAACTAGAGCTAACACCATTAGCTAAAGCTAACGCTCCAGTTCAAATTGAAGAGCTTGAACATTACTCAATGTTTCTGTTCCATCTGGCTGAAGCTAGCTTCATAGCACTTAGCTCAGCATGTCATCTACCCAGGATTTTTTTTAAATTTTTTTATGTCATCTACCCAGGATGCATTGCAGTGTGAACAACAGGATGACGTCAAATATATTTAGTGTATTTTTACTGTTTTGTTTTCACATCTGATGTGTGAAATGTTTCCCTACTAAATTCTGTTGTCAGAACTGAAAGTGGCTCCGGTAAGGCGGGGTGTACTTTCTTTCCACCAGGACTCCAGCTCCAGATCAAGGAGCTGATTGGTCAGAAAACTGCAGATTGTCACGAAGCTTGGAGCTGCCAGGCGGCCGTCGGTCATCAAGGCACGGCTGTCTGCTGACGAAGAGCTGCGGCCCAGCATCCTCTTCCTCACAACCAGACGCTCTTATACCATGAAGATGACGTAATCATCATCATCATCAGCTGGATCATTCCACAAAGTTCAACACAAACCAGAGAGAAATTGAGAGAATGACTGGTTTACGCACACACACGCTCACACACACACTCACACCTGCACAGGAACGCGGTCCCCGATGATGACATCATCATCACTCGACGGGAACGCCGTCCACGCTCTCCTGGGACACCTCGGAGTCCAGCGAGTAGCAGGAGCTGCCGTTGTCCTGCGTGTCCCGGTTGGCGTCCTCGCAGAGCGCGGCCGAGGCCCCGCCCCCTCCGCCCGGCTCGCCGGCGGCAGCGGCGGCGTCACAGAAGTGGGCGGAGCCCTGGAAGAGCTGGCTGCAGAGGCGGTTGTAGCGGTGGAAGCGGCCCGGCTTGCCGGTGTGGCTGTACATGTGTTCCTGCAGCTGGCTCTTGTGGGAGAAGCGCAGGCTGCAGACGGCGCAGGCGATCTTCCGCTTGCGGGAGTGGAGCACAGTGGGGGCGGGGCTTGTGTCGCCGTCGCCGCGGCTGCGCCTCAGCTCCGCCGCCAGCTGGTTGGCGAGCACCTGGCTCTGCCGCAGCGCCTCCTCCAGGCAGCCGGCGTCCAGCGGCTCGGCGGCGCCCGGCAGCGGATCGTCGGCGCCCGGCGGCGGCAGCAGCCCGTCCATGAGGCGTGTGGGGTCCAGGGCGTGGCTGAACAGGTGCTCCCTCAGGTCCTCCGGCGAGGAGCAGCGCTCCCCGCAGCGCGGGCACTGTAGCAGCAGGGGGCGCCCTTTGAACAGCGGGCTGCCCCCCTGTCGACCCCCATCCTCCTCCTCGCCGTCCTCCTCCTCCACCCGTTCCTGTTTGATACGGCCGGAGACGTCTGAGTCGTCCGCCGACGTCACGGAGCAGATGTTGCGCAGCGCCGGCTGCTGGTGGTCCTGTGGGACGGCGTCCAGTCCCACGGCAAGGGCCAGCTGGGACCGCGGCTCGGGGGCCACCCGGGACGCCGCGGCGGCCTTGGGGACGCCTGGCGTGTCTTTGCTGGCCAGCTGGGAGGAGATCTGGATGCCGTACAGGTTGGACATGCGGACGCCGTCGGCGGCGGCATCGGCGGCAGCGTCGCCCGGCTTGCGGCACAGCTGGTAGGCGTGCAGGAACTTGATGCCGTCCTGCAGCCGGCTCTGGTCCACCGGCTGCTTGGGACACATCCCGGTGTACATGATATGCAGCAGGTAGCTGAAGACGTCCGGCTGGATGTCGGTGGGCTGGATCTTTATACATTCACTAAGGAGGCAGGAGGTCAGAGGTCACCGCAGGATCTAATAAAATCTGAGATCATCTGGATTAAATAAACCTGAATAATCACATGTATTAACTGATCAACATAAACTCTGATCATCAGGATTAACTGAGATTAACTAACCCCAATCAGTATAAACTGGTCCAAATCCAAACTAAAAATAAACATGATAAATAAAAAAACTAAATCAGAATCAGCTGCTACAAATCAAGATAAAATCAACCTGAGTAAAATGATCCGGCTTCAGTCAGGATTAATTAGCCTGATTAGAACATGCTGACCAAATTAAGAAAAAATAAACTCAGATCAAGTTAAAGTTAATTAAGATTAATGATCTAAATAAAGATTAGAAAACAAATCTAGTCCAGAACTAGTAGAACTAAACTGGGATCAGCAAGTCCAAAACTAAACGATTTAAACCAGATTAGGATCAAATTAATAAATCTAATTCTGAAAAGTTTTGATAAACAGTACTTTGTTTAGACCAGATAAATTCAGATCCAGATGAACTGAACATAAATACTTACAGCTGATCCTAATAAAGATCATATGAACAGTCAGGATCATCTGATCCTTATCGATGGATCTGAAATCGATTAAAACTCCTGAGTCAGTAATTTATCCTCATATTAATGATCCAGAGTTTCTTCTTCTGCTCCTCAGAGTTTTTGTGGTTTTCTGAGCTGAACATCCTCAGGTGTTTTACCTGGACTGGTGGATGAAGATCATCTTGAAGTAGTTGGAGAAGGCGGCCAGCACGGCCCGGTGCGCCTTGAAGTACACGTTACCGATGGCAACGGTGCAATCGCACAGGAAGCCGAACTCTCTCTGCACGTTGAGCTGCTGCAGCAGGAAGAGGCTGTGGGACGACACCTCCATGGCCCGCCTGGAACGCAGAACCGGCTCAGAACCGGGTCAGAACCTTGGGTTCAGACCCGGTCAGAACCGGGCCAGGACCAGGTCAGAACCCTGGGTTCAGACAGGGTCAGAACCAAGCTAGAGTCGGGTCATAACCCGACCGAGACGGCCCAAACAGAACCTCATACTGTTTTACTCTCACTGTTTTACTTTCTGACAGCTGCAATGATCCGTAACCATGGTAACGAGGTGTCATTTTTATGACTGATTTGCACTTCACTTCAACTTTGAGCCCAAATCCCAGAGGATTGTCTCCCCTACTCCAGCTTGTCTCCACCAAACAGCCAGGCAGATTGAAAGAGCAGCAAAAGCAAAGGAACTGGATTAGTAGAGCTAGCCTTGACTATCATCTCTGCTACCTGTTAGCATGTCATCTTGGTCATGTGACCGTCACAAAGCAACAGTCTTCAGTCAGAGGCCTCCTCAGACATGTTGCGACACTGACTGCTACTGGAGATCCACAGCATCACCATCCATAATGACACTTTGATGACATCAGTTATGGAAGATTTAATTTTTTGTATGGAATATTGTATGAAATTTCAGCTTTAAATTTCAGTAAAATTCTTAAAACTTAAAAGGGAGATCAAATTTACATGGCCAGAAGAATTTATAAAACCTGATTTCTGTCTTTTTTCTTTTTAATTGTAATTTATTTATTAAGGTACTTAAATTCACACTTTGTTCTGTGATGCAAATCTGGATCATCATCATGAAAAATTCTGGATTAAAAAAATGTGATTTTTATTGTGACAATAAATCCCGATTACTGATCCCAAAAACTGGTGACATCATCTGGATCGTCCACTGTTGGTTTCATGGAAACGTCAATAAATAAATGAAAACATACGATTACATACAGTTATCAACTGCTAATTTTTTTACACACTCTTCGGTGTAACTGCTGACCTGAAAAACATGATTTTTAACAGCAATAATCATAACTTTTTGTCTGTGACTCCACTAACATGAAGTTACAGATATACATTTGTCTAAAAATAAATCTGCAGAATGGTAACATTTTTATTGTTTAAATAAATAAATAAAAGTCCATATCTTCTAGTCTGGATTAGTGTTTTATTTTAAACCAAATAAAAATGTTAATTAAATTTAATCAGCATATTAACTTAAATGTCTCTTTTAACCAGTTTAGAAGTCAAACATGGTGGACAGAAGTGAGCTGCTGCCTGAGGGAGTCCCACCCAGACTGGGAACACTGGGAACACTGGAAAAAAGCTCCGGTACCAGACGGCTCTTTAAGACACCCGACTCTCCTGCAGAACCCTCCATCGAAATGATCTGTCCTCTAAAACCTGAGAAAACTTGAGTTTTATTTTGAAGGGCCAACAGATTAACTCATCTCGGGCCTTAGATTTCTTTGCGTCGCCTCTGGGTGGTTTCCAGCATCCGTTACCATGGTAACGGGCAGCTTCCTGAGGTTTCCGTCCTCTGTTGTCCCTCTCTTCTCTGTTTCTGTACACACACCTGAACACACACCTCGCGTGTCTGCTGCTGGGTATTTGAGCCGGAACGTGCACGCGCAGAACCTGAGCGCACCTGTCCACGGCAGGTGGCCCCGCCCATCTCCAAAACCCCTGACCAGCTGGACATGTGACCTCAGACTGAAGGTCACCCGCAGGACGCCGGCGCACACGCGTAGTGGAAGAGGAGCAGGATGAAGATCGAGGGTGGTCGACAAGCACAGCCGGCGCGCGTGCACGCCGCGTCGCGCCCGTCAGGCTGCAGCCTCCATCCATCCATCCCGCTCTCCTCCACACACACATACACACACAGACACACACACACACACGCACGTCCCCTTCAGCGACACCGTGCAAACACAGGGGCGCGAGCACGTGCCCCGAGCCCCGCACACGCGCTCGGCCGGCACTTGTCGCGCACGCGCTGGCTTAATCAGCCTCTTACCGCAGAAACGAGCAGATTGTCTTCAGGAGCCGATTTGCTGCTGCAGACGTGATCTCGCGAAGAGCCGCGTCACGTCTCGCGAGAGAACGGGTCAAAAGGGCTCCCTGGTCACGTGAACTCGCTGTGAAGCCAAATAAATCCTTAATAATCAATAATCATACTAAGCAAAGATTCTGACAAAATAATAAAGATTTTTATTTAATTTTAATGTTAAAACCTTTAAAACACTAATATAATCAAAGCAATACATTTTATTATTATCATTATTGTTAATATTATTTCTGGGAGCTGGAACCTGTGATTGTTTCCAGGTTTTATGTGGAAGTCTGAAAATAAGTACTTCAAACATAATTCATTTCAGTTGCTGATATATGCTTTATTATGGAAGTAGTAGAATCATCCAGAAACCATTTATTGTAAATAAGAATGTGTTTTTAATAACTCACTTAGTTAAATAAAGATTAAATTAAAAAATAAACAGTTGGATGGAGACCAGCTGGGTGTTGCAGAAACTAAATCCTCGTTCTTATGGACCTAAATCAGGAGCTTTTGATCCAAACTCCTACAGTATGTGTGGAGAAAACCTCCAACCTTCATAGCAGAGCTTTTTAACACCAGCCTATGAAGCACGGTGGTGGCAGCATCAATCTGTAGCTGCCCATCCAACCTGACTGTGCCTGAAGAATGAAATCAGGTAAACCAAGCTAACAGAGACACCCAGCAGTGATCACTGCTAAAGGTGCAAAGGGTGTGAATACTTTTTATTAGCTACAAAATATTCAAACCCCTGGTAAATTTAGGTGTGAATTATTTTTACAGTTTTAACAAGAGTCAGTTTGTTCTGACTGGGAGATGAAAATTAGTGATGGTAAGGAGGTTTTTCTACCATCTAAGAGCTCATGAGTAGTCACTAATGGGGATCTCCTGTAGAGGTCTGTGTTGCAGCAAAACTATAAACCTCTAACAGAATGCAAAGAGATATCTTCATTCTTCTTCACACAATCAGCTCTTTAGAACAGTCAGTCCTCTTTATAAAACAAGAAATCTAAACCAGACAGGACAAAAGGGATTTGGTTGTTTGTTGATGTATTTTCAAAAATAAATTACTTTTCTAAATAAATGTTTTGCTTTTCCATTCATATATTTTTAAACTAATGACAGGTTTTAAACATCAAAACTGTTTAAAGTAAAACAGCCTCAGAATTTGCTTCTGCCTCTGGCCGGTTCGGTTTGCTAACGTACATGAGGTTAGCATCTAGCATAGAGAGTGTTGTGCTTGGTGTGTGGAGAACCGGATGCGTTTTATTTTGACACTTCAGTGACGGTGCGGCACTCAGTGCGGAAGTTCTGTCATCCTGCAGGAGGAGAGGAAGGAGAGGCGCAGCTTCGTCTCAACTTTCCGCCCGAAACGCAACAACCTGTCCCGGCAGGAAAAAGCTCCGTTTCCCCGGAAACCGCAGCCCGTCCGCCGCCGACAGACGCAGCTCCTCCTCGGGCCTCCGACAGACTTCGGGTAAGTTAACGACTTCCTGGCCGGTCCGTGAAGCTGCCTGCTCGGCTGTAGCGGAGGGAAAACGGCCTGCTGCCGAGTGCGGTGGCAGTGCGGGGGTGGCGGGTCGTTTGCGGGAGAGCTGTGGCTCTGTAGCGCCGCTGTCTGCGTTCAGTCATGTCGTATCCGGGACGGATTTTCAAAATAAGTGTCGCTTAAGAATGTAAATAGAAAAAATTCATAAATGTAAATCATGTTTGCAAATCAATTATATAAAATATAATAACATTTATAATATAATATTTATTTTTAATACTTTTAGTTATTTTAATAAGGTAATGGAATTTATTTATACATTTAATTGAATTATAAATGTAGTATAAAGTATAAATCTAAATGATGTTTGGGAACATAAGTCTCAGAAAGCAGTTTTTATAAAACTATTTGTTTTTTTCTCACTGCCGTCATGTATTTCCCCATGCTGTCAACCATGTCTTCCTCTTTTGTATTAACAGTCCATATTTACATGTATACTAGAAGAAAAATATTTCCCAACGGCATTTAATATAATGTGTATTTTTAAAATACCTTCATTAGGATCATAATGGAACCAAAGTCGAAAAAAGCTTATTTTGATTTTATAACCTAAATACAAAAAATATATATATCTTAATTAATGCATCTAAGTACTGTTTTATTTCTATCATTTATGTGCTGATATATTTTGTTACTTTGTGGCCGGTACTTTCTAGTTGTTAGCTGCAAATAGGGCTTACAGATAAATATTTCATAAACATTTGAACCTGGATGATGAAAAAGTAATACTTTCTTTGTCGTGGTGCCTCGTGATACTAACCTCCGATTAGAACTGCGTGTTGCTCTTTGTTTTACTTTGAAAGTCCTACTTCGGTTACTTCCTGTGCAGGCTAGGCTAACACCTAGTAGCTTCCCGCAGCTAGCCACGGATCTCCATTTTAGCTTCGAAGCGCCACCGACCTCTCGAAGCTGTCCGACCCCGAACGTAGCCCGTCTTCGCCCCGCAGTGCGTGGAGCTGACAGCCGGTAAGTGCGGGGCTGCTCCTGCAGTAGTTCTGCGGTCGTGGGCGACTCGTTGGGGCTAAACAAGCTCCTGGAGACTGAATGACGTTTTATTTCTCTGTTTTTTATCACAGAGTTCGGACGTAAAGGAAGCAAAACTTTGTCCCAATATCTGAAAGAAACACAAAACATGCTTTAAAATGATAAAATAATCATGATTATTATTAGAAAGGTAAAGTTGTGGACCATCTTCTCAGTGGGTTGGTCCAAACATCTCGGAGAACCAAACACAGATTTAGTGTAGATGTTGTCTCACATGTGATCCAGAACCGCATCATTCCGTCCAGAACTTCTTGTTCTTCTGTGGTCACCGTGATAAGGACATCTTGTCTTCCTACAGGATAAATTTCTGCTTTCCGTCATTTGGACCAGAACCTCCAGTTTCATTAGCGGTCTCAGTCCTTCCAGAACCTCCAGGACCTGCAGCTGTTCTGTGGACTCTGGTTCTGATGATGTCATCCTTCCCTTTCCATTTCACTTTTTCTTTTTGAAACTCTTTTTTATGTAAATTAAATTTTAAAAAAAGATTAAAAATAAATAGATAGTGCCAACACTGGTAAATGTATCCAATGGATTTTCTGCACAGACCTTTGAGATTTGATGTGAGAGTTTTGCTCTGGCTGCAGCTCCTCTGTTTCAAGTCCTGCCACAGTTTTCTACTTTGACTAGGCCATTCTAACCCATGAATGTGCTTTGATCTAAACCAGACTCCTAAGGTTTTAAACATGGGTGTAATGATAACAAATGCACTTTTTAACCAGTATTCATGCAATAATCACATTGAATTTCCACAACTAGACTCGGTTGGATTGGGAACCAGAGTAGCAACATTTGCTCCATTTTCAGCTGAAGATATGAACACCTTACAGAAGAAAAGTTTGATGTTTTTCTTCATTCAGAGTAAAGGGGGTTCTCCCACAGATCAGCTGCAAGTGTGGGAAAGGTCAAAGGTTATGCAAGAAGCTTGACTCAACATGATATATTCAGATTCCAGCCTGATGGCCCTTCATAGCTGATTTATGTCGGTAAGAGGTCTCACTCTGACCAATCCTCAGAGGAGCCTCATATGACTCTGCTTGGTGCAGCAGAAGGTGGTTTCCTGCCCTGAAGGAGGGCTGGAAACCCCCCAGAGGTCTGACGCTGTGATGACTCGGGTTAAATGTTGCTGAGTCATTGCGGGACTCTTTAGACGTTAACCGTATGTTCCTGTGTCGTCTCCAGGGCGATGGCGAGGCCGAGCCACAGCGATCACGTCCTCCAGCAGCTCAACAACCAGCGGGAGTGGGGCTTCCTGTGCGACTGCCTCATCGCCATCGGCGACATCTACTTCAGGGCCCACAAGGCGGTGCTGGCGGCCTGCAGCTCCTACTTCCGGATGATGTTCATCCGCGACCAGCAGGGGGCGGGCCACCTGGACCTCAGCAACATGCAGATCAGCGCCGAGTGCTTCGACCTCATCCTGCAGCTCATGTACCTGGGCCGCATCGTGGTGGGCAGCTACGAGTTCGAGGAGCTGAAGGCGTCCATGTCCTACCTGCAGATGTACTACATCCCCGACTCGCTGGAGGACCTCCGAGACATCCGCAGCTCCAACCTCACCCCGTCTTCCTCCGCCTCTTCCTCCTCCTCCTCTTCCTCCAGCTCCTCCACCGGCGTCTCTGGAGGGAAGATGATGTTTGGAGTGCGGATGTACGAACAGCAGAGATCCACGGCGCCGGAGGCGGAGCTTCTACCGAAGGCGGCGACCAGCAGCAGCGCAGGGCGCCCAGCTGTTCCTGTAGCTACCAGCAGGGCGGCGCCAGCTGTAGCAGTGGTAGTGGAGGAGGTGGCTAGCACACCTTTGATCGTGGCTCCGCCCACCGCGGACAGCGGCGCAGAGCAGCCATGTGACCTGAGAAAGCGACCCGGCGGCAGAAGTTCTGCTCTCAAAGACCGGCCCAGATTCGGCCGCACCTACACCTGCGACGACTGCGGCTTCGTCTTCAGCTGCGAGAAGCTGCTGATCGAGCACATCCTGACCTGCACCAACAGGAAGGCCTACCACCCGCCCCGAGGAAACGGCGAGGGCGACAGCAGCTCCGGCAAGGCGGAGAGCTCCGCCTCCGAGAGCGCCGAGGAGCAGAGAGTCGTCTGTAAGGGCGAGGACGACTGGCCTGACGGTCGGGCCGACTCGGAGCTGCCCGTCAGGTCGCTGGCGGCCGGCACCGACAGCGAGCCCGGCTCCACCCGCAGCATCAAAACGGAACCGGAGGAAGGCCTGTTCCCTGAGATCGAGATGGTCCAGGTGGGCGAGCACGCAGCCAGAGACTCGCTGAGAGACAGGATGGGTTTGACCCGCGAGTCGGAGCCGGGAGTGTCGGGTCTGGAGAGCTGCGGCGAGTCGGCTGACGGCCACCTGCCGAGCAGCAGCGACTCGGGGATCCCCGCCAAACTCCGGAAGGTCAAGGATGAGAAGCAGGAAGCCGACTGCGCTCCCTGCGAACTTTGTGGCGCTCTTCTGACTGAGGAGGACAAGTCCTCCCACTACCTGTCCAACCACATGGGCCACATATGCGCCTGTGGGCGGTGCGGCCAGGTTCTGATCAAAGGCCGGCAGCTGCAGGAACACGCCGAGCGCTGCGGCGAGTCCCACGGCGCCGAGTCGGACTCCCACGGGGAGGATGAGGTGTCGCTGCTGGGGGATTCTCAGGGGATGGACGAGGGTCTGCTGGATGCCGCTGACCTGGCCTGCCCTCACTGCGGCCTGCTGTTCCAGAACGAGAGCCTGGCGCTGGAGCACGCCTTGACCTGCCACGATCAGGACCTGTTTCGGCCCGTGGCGCTGGAGGACGGCGGCGAACCCGACCACCGCCGCAAACACTTCTGCAGCATCTGCGGCAAAGGCTTCTACCAGCGCTGCCACCTGCGGGAGCACTACACCGTCCACACCAAGGAGAAGCAGTTCACCTGCCAGACCTGCGGCAAGCAGTTCCTGCGGGAGCGCCAGCTGCGGCTGCACACCGACATGCACAAGGGCATGGCGCGGTACGTGTGTCCGGTCTGCGACCAGGGAACCTTCCTGAAGCACGACCACGTCCGGCACATGATCTCCCACCTGTCGGCCGGAGAAACCATCTGCCAGGTGTGCTTCCAGATCTTCCCAGGCGGAGAGCAGCTGGAGAAGCACATGGACGTCCACCTGTACATCTGCGGCGTCTGCGGGGAGAAGTTCCGGCTCCGCAAGGACATGAGGAGCCACTACAACTCCAAGCACACCAAAAGACTGTAAGGCATCCGCAGCGTCTGCAATGTCTGCAGGATCTGTGGTGCCGGTGGTATCCGCGGCGTCTGCAGGGTCTGCAGCCTCTGCAGCGTCTGCAGCCTCTGCAGCGTCTGCAGCCTCTGCTACGTCTGCAGCCTCTGCAGCGTTGTCTGCAGCGTCTGCTCTTAGAAGCCATAAATGTGAGAACAAATCAAGCACTTGAACACCAAAAAGACGACTTTGAATCTGCACTTTGAAGCTGAAAGCAGAACCTAAACAGGTGTTCAGACTGCGATTGGTCGTTTCAGATCATTAGACTGCTCTGATCAGAGGAAGGATCGTCCGGTGCTGAAACTGATCCGACCCGGTTCAGATGCTGTTCAGTTCTGTTAGAACCGGGTTGTAGAACCGGGCCAGAACAGTGTGATGGTGTCGCTCGCAGTTTGAACTCCAGCCCCGGGTTTTTAACTCCCACAGCCAGAACAGTTCTGATTGGTTCACCTGTGAGGAGCCTCTCAGGTGAGGTCACTTCCTGTTTCAGAGCTTGGACTTGTTTTTGTTTCTTTTTTTAGCCTTGGTACCGACCCGTTTCCCAGAATACTAAAGGTTTCTGCAGATGTTTGGGTTCCGGGTTCTGGTTCTTCTCTAATGTGTGCCTTTGCCGTCATATCAGAACTCCAAGAAGAAAACACTAGAACCAGTCGGTCAGAACCGGCCCACTGGTCGGATCTGGGACTGCGATGCCTTATCAGCTTCATCTTCATCACTTCCTGCACAGAACCAGAACCGGTCCCTACACTGACCAACAGAACCAACTCTAACCGGTTAAAACAAAACAGTTTCTGGCTAAAACCAGGTTGGTTCAGATGATTTCACACTTCCTGGGTCCGGTTTCAAACATTTGGACCTTCAGAACATCAGCCGAGCCCAGAATCAGCAGGTTCTGTCGGTCCGGATGGTTCCGACGTTCCCGTTTACCGCAGAATCTCCCTGAAGGTCCGGCATATTGTGAGACTCGAGCAAAAATCAGAACCTCCCGGTTCTGATCCAGGGCTGTCCAAAGTGCGGTCCGGGGCCGTTTGTGGCCCAAAAACGTTTTCAGGACAGTAAAAATTTGGCCAAAGAGAAAAAATTCTGTATGCAAAGCACCTTATTTGTTTTTAATATCGTCAGTATTTAATTTTAGTGTAAATAATAAAAACATTTAGTTTTCAGTCTAAATCAAACTTGTGTCTGATCCGTTTCCTGGTTCTGATAGACAAGTTAGATAGAAAACAATGGACTAAATAGAATTAATTTAAGAAATTAATTCAAATAAATTATATCGTTTAATGATTTTATTTAATAATTTTATTTCAAATTTTAATCTAATAAATATAAAAATGTGTATTTTAATTACATAAGATGTAATTAAAATACAGTACTTTTAACGTCATGTTGGTTCATGTTGCTAAAAACAGTAATCGTTATAATAATAATAATGCACTGATGAAAACATTTGTGTCCATATGCTGAGGACATCTGCTTCAGTTAAATACCCACAATCCTGTGCTGCATCACTGTCACTTGACCAGATGCATGAAGCTCCGCCCCCTTTACAAACAAACGGCAACAAAATGGAGATAAATGTCGGTTAATATCAGTTATTGTTGATGGAGATTTATCATCTCTAACTATATTATTCCATATTATTGCTGCTACCGTTAGTAAATTATTATTGATGATTGATTATACCAGGTATTTATTTTTTACCTCTTAAATTAAAATACTGTGTTTTAATTGGTTGGAGTTAAATTATTGGCTGGTTTTATTCCGGAAGCAGCTTGTTGCTCACAGTGTGGCGGCGTTGGGGGATCGTTTCTATGGTAACGAAGCTGATTGGGCATCTATCTAGACCTGGTTCAGATCCAGCGGGATCTGAACCGGGCCCAGACCCATCTGCGTCATCTTCATGGTCCGGTTGGTTCTGGTCGGTTCTAACTGATGGGCCGAAACCAGACGGCAGATATTTAATCTGGTTCTGCTGGTTCTGGTTCTGTAAACGCACTAAAGGGGAGTTTGACATGCAGAGCTGTTGGTCTAAATATGGGTCCATTTTCTCTGGGGCTTTTTCTTCCTGTCAGGCGTCGCCGTGGCAACCTCTGACCTCCAGGGAAAAATCAGCTCCAATTTTATTGAGACTTTATTTTTAAAATCAAACTAGTTGAACTTCATTTCTGCTGCAGGTTCTGGTTTTTGGTCCGATCCGCTGGTTCTGTTGCGGTTCCGGGTCCAGTTTCATGTTCTGTTCAGGTCACACAGGCCTTGTTCTACTCTCAATAAACCAAGTGATCTTCTGTTTCAAGCTGCAGTGTTTGTTTGATGAAAATCTTCCTCATCCTCACGTCAACTTCATCATCGAAACTTAAATTTTTTTTCATTCTGGGTCCAGTGGATTTCTGTAAATCTCCGAGCCACTGACCTGGAGCAGCACACTGCTCTGTGGAGCCCCCTGGAGGCCACGGCGGGCATTTCTATTGTCATCACCTCATAGGAAATCCATCCCCTGCAAAAATTAGCAATAGACCCTGGTCTGTTTGGTAGAGAGAAAAAATTAGTAAATTTCAGCCAAAAAACTCAGTTTCTAGGTAATTTCTGAGTTTGAAAAATCGAATTTGCTGGGAAAAATAGATTATTCTCATACATTTTCTAGAATTTGGAAAACACTTAGAAAAATGTTTATATTTTGAGGTAATTCTCAGAAGATTTCTAGAAAAAACAAGGAAATTTCTCAATTTCAAGTTGAAAATTTGCTAGAAAAAACTCAAATTTTAAGATTAATATAGGATTTTATTTTTTATTTTTTTAGAAAAAAATGTCAAATTCCTGAGTTTGACTGCAAGGGACTGATTTTTTTCTAGTTTGTTTTTCCTGTAAATTTTCAAATAGGAACATATCCCTCCTTTAAAAGCAGGAATATTTCTCTGTTCGTCTTTCTATAAGGTCTAAAATCAGACACACTTCCTGTCTCTACCTGAGAGGTCAAAGGGTCACCAGCTGATGAAGCGGCTTTAATCCAGGAGATGGTGGATGATCCATTTTGATGGGATTAATCTGAGCTGATCTCCAATCAGCCAGAAACCTCATTATGCTGATGTCGCTCTGATCGGGACCTGGAAAAACAGGAATCCTGTAAAAACTCATAGAAAACATAACGTCATAGTTCTGCATCTCAGCAGTTTGAGTCTGGGAGACTAAAGCTGCCAGATTTATCCATCAACAATGAAGAGGCCAAAACTTCCTGCTTCCCTTCCTCACAGATATTTTAGACTTTATTTCTAAAATCTCAAACGACTCATTTTGAGAAATATTATATCCAAGGATTTGTTTTCTAATATATGCCATTAACTGCAGATCTTCCCCAGATTTTATTAAAGTTTCATATTTTGTTCAGCAACATTTAAATTTGACAATGATGTTTTTTATTTGCTGCCAAATTTTATTTTTCATCCAAACTCATTAAAAAGCCATAAAAATAGATTTGTTTTCATCCTAGATGAGGATGTTATAATAAATACACATTTCACCTATAGCTGGGATAATAAAGACAGAAATTAAATTCTAAGTTTTATTTAGAAATGCAAAATTAGACTAACTGAAGGAAAAGAAAAAAATTAAAATTCAACCCAAAAGAAACACCAAACCAATTTTAATTTGACAGATTTTCACCAACAAAGTCAAACTTATGCTTTAATATACCATTTTATTTTATACATCTATTCTATTCCAGATTGTATTTCTCTTGTTCTAGATGTTTAAATGTAGTTAATCTATAATGTTAAATTATCAAATTCAATTACAAAAAATACTTTATTTATTCCAAAGGAAAATTAAATGATATAACTCAGATTGATGTTGATGCTGTGGGCAGGATGAAGCTCCAGCAGCAGTCAGCGTTGCTAGGACTCAGGGGAGGCCTCTGACTGAAGGCAGCAGAGACGTTGTTCCACAGTAAAAGGTCCTGGATGACATCAGCTCTGCTAACCCACCTCCTTTGCTTTTGCCGCTCCTCTTTAAGTCTCCTGCTGTTTGTTCAGAGATGCTGGAGTAGGGGATAAGATCCTTAGCTTCTGCTATACAGCCATTAAAGCTCCTTTTCATCTCCTCTGGTATTGTTTGGGTCTTATTTGGATTTTACTAAATTGAAAAAAATAAAGGAAAATGTTGATGCATGTAAAGTTTCTGCAGTCGAACTGAAAACGACCTTTTTATTTAACAAACACTTTAAAAATTCTGTGTTTCAGTTGAATTATGAATTATTGAGACGTGAAACTCTCCACAGCTCAGTTCAGAGGTTGTTGGTGTTTTTTCACCTGGCGAACTTTCTGTTCCCTCCAAGTCAAATATTGACCTGGAATATTCCAGTAAGCATTCGCAACATTAGCAGCGTGTTTGTTGTTGACTGAAGGGTCCGGCGGGATCCAGTTAGACGGCTGGTGTGAACATTCAAATGAGATGAAGCCGACCAATCAGAGCAGAGCGTGGATGGGTGGCAGGTTAATGGAAAAAAACAGATCAGCAGCTGTAATCTGACAATTCTGGGGAAAAAAGCAGAATTCAACCTGATTTACAGTCAAGTCCAAGTCCAACTCTCAGCAGCGACACCTAAAGTTTGAGAAGAGAACTGCAGCAAGTGGGAAAAGTAAATACAGCAGGAGCTTTAAGGAGCTCATCTCTCTGTTCCTGTCACTAAAGTTTGTTAGTTTTGGATTTTAAGGTTTTTCTTACTTTAACTTAAATCTACCAGTTTGAACTCTGATACAGCAAAATAAAAAGAAAGAATGCAGCTTTTATTGACAAAAGAAGCAACATTTTAAATAAAAAAAACAATTTTTCCTGCCAAATTATTCAATAGACATGTGAGCTCAAATATAAAGACTTTTACAGTGTTTAATCTGTTATTATAGCTCTGATAATTTATGGAGCTTATTTATATATTACGTGAACTGTGGGTGCTTATGTTAGCGTTAGCTGCTACATATTTAGCATTGAGATGCTACTTTAGGCTAGCATAGCTTCACTGACAGGCTGACTCCGTCCAATCGGATCGGGTTAGAAAGCAGGAATGAACGGCAGTGAACGGAGAGAAGCAGCTTCGTCCTCCATGTTGTTGTGCATCAGATTTACAGACGTACCAGAAACATCCAAATATAAAAGTTCTGGGAGGAACATTTTTAAGAAACACATTAAAATCCATGTATTTAATTTATCAAAATTATTGTGTTAAAATCCAGATTTTACTTTCTTTAATTTCAGATGTTTGCGTTTAGGAATATCAATGATTCCTTAAATGGCTTGGAAAGGCCAAAGTGATGATGTCATAGCTTTGTCAGCTTCTGATTGGATCATTCGCAACGTCAGTTAAATGGTGCTACTTTTTTTAAACAGAGGAACCTGCAAAGAACTAGAAAAACTTGGAAATTGCTGAGCTTGACAGTTGAAAAATTCTCTCCAGAAAAAGACATTTCAACCCGGAAAGACTGAGAGAGAGAGAGAGAGAGAGAGAGAGAGAGAGAGAGAGAGAGAGAGAGAGAGAGAGATTAGAAAGTTTAATTGATCAATTAAAGTCTTTGGCGCTCGGATCCAACAGGAAGACGCGGCGCTGGTAACGGCTGTCAGAGCCGCTTTTTCCCCTTCGGGCTGGACCTGGTGGTGGAGAGGAAGCTGAAGACTGGACGGATGTTGAAAAATTACGAGCGGAAGGTGGAGGAAGGATGAAGCTCAGCCAAGCAGATGAGCAGCTGGACCGGATCATGGGGCTGGAGTCGAGGCGCAGGAGGAGATGATTGGCTGAGATTTAGAGTTTTCCAGTTTGAATTTCCGCCTTGGCCTCATTTCTGAATATAGAAAGGCAAATTTTGCAAGAAAAAAATCTCATTTTGAAATTTTCTAGAAAAAAACAACAGGATAATTTCTGAGTTTGAAATGTCAAAAATTGTGTAGAAAATATTCCAAAATTTTTAGATGAACCTTAGAAGTTTTCTGGAGGGAAAACATGGAAATTTCTGATCTTAAAAGTCAAATTTTGTAGAAAAAAATGCTGAAAATGTCAGAAATGTTCTTGGAAAAAACTTAGAAATTTCTGAGTTTGACTACAAATATCTGCAGATGCAGATTTTGCCATAATCTGGTACATCGCATCAAATGGCGACATTCATGTTTGTGATTAACATAAACCATAACATGATTTCATCCTAACTCAGATTAGCACCAAATGCTAATCTAAAGCCATCCAGAGTAACTTTTAGCAATTTGGATGAAAGTATCACTTTAATTTAAAAGATAAATTTGAGACCTTTTGTGTTGTTTTCTCTCTGATTCTCCTGATTTATGAAGATCTGGTCTGATTTCTTGTAGCCAACGTTTTTGCTGCAGCATCATTCGGTTGAATTTGATCAGAGGCTGACCTTCAGCAAACGATGAGCAGATAGCCGATCAGGAAGGTTCATCTAGAACAAACAGAACATTTAATCAGTCCACAGATCAGCTGTGGACACAGAGGCCCGTTTTAGGCCTTATGCAATCGATTAGAGCCTTCATCTTTACGGCCGCATGAGGACAGGCAGCACACCGAGCACATGACACAAACCGTCTGGTTTATCTCATCAGCTAACAATCCCACATCAAAATAAAAGAATATTTCACTAATTTGTTACATGCCAAACATTTTTATGGTTATTGAATATTCTTTGAATATTTTTGTTCCTCTATAGACTAAAGGTACAAATGTTCACAGACTGGGTTTTAAACTAGTGAAGGAAAAACTAAATGCAACGCTCGATTTATGGTCAACCAGATGGAAAAAAAGAAATTCATCATTTTGATAGTTATGTTTGTTTGTTTTTA